GATTAAGACAGAAAACAGTGTACAACTTTAATTATATATTTGTGTGTATATGTTTGTCTTATTCTACATGGCTATAAATTGGTGCATGGTACACAATGTACTGAATACAAATACTGCTGTCAAACCATTGCTATTTGAAAACGTGCCAGGTCTCGTGCCAAATGTTTCTTGTATCCTACTTTATTTTAGCTTCATATTGACCCTATGGGTAAATATTAGTTTGCAACATGAGTTCCTTTCAGAAACATCAGTGAAGATCAAAGGGAAACATTTTAAAATAGAAACTGATGAGAAACATCTTTGTAAAAAATGAAAAACACTTACAGGAACCAGGAATTTTTTAATCTCTTCCAACGCATGACTCATACGTGAATAAGCTTCCCCAGGTGGAGCAAACACTTCAATTAATACGTGAAGTTCATCACTCAAGTGAGCATATTTGGCTTCCCCACTTTTCCTTAGTTCTTCTTCCTGTGAAAGAAGTTAATTTTAGAAACACAAATCCACTTATTTTGCATTGATTTAACATTTACTGAGCATATGACAAAAGGGCATAATCTAAGCAAATTTTCCAGAAGTAGTAAGATACCCTTTGAAAATAAAAATCTGCTATGAGCCTTTTAAAGATTTAAAATCACTTTTGAGTGTTTGAATCATTAAAAAAAAACTGGCATAATTATCATTGACAACAGATTTTAATCAGCTAAGTGAAAATGCTAACCCCCTGAAAATAAGTCATAGAAATGCTATTAACTCTTTAGTGTAAATCACTACTTTCTAAAAGAAAAAGATTGTTTTGTGTCTGATGTGTAGTATTTTGCAAATNTTTTCTGTTCCTATTCTTAAAATCACTACCAATCAATGAATCTTACCCTCTGAGTATATTGCTTAGTTTGGAAATCTACAGTTTTTTTATTGTGTAGATTGATCTTAGCTACTTTCTCTCATTTCTGAAGACTTCTGCCCAGACCTCCAGAAAATTTTGCTCAGCATTCTCCTCTAATTATCTTATTCCCAGCTGGAAGCCTGATGCCAAGATTTTTATTTGAATGAACTCTTCCTAGAATGCTAAATTGCCAACCTTTAGGAAAGCTTCATTCATTTAACCTTCCTTTATTTCACAGAAAATCAGTAGAGAATTCTACTCATTATATAACCCTGAATTAGCTGCCTTACTAAATGAATATTCTCTGTTGCCCTCACATAGCTCAGTGAGTTTATTTTTTTCCAATTTTTGCCTGAAGTTAATAAATGTCTGGATCTATTAATAATGATTATTTTATACTACATGTTATAATGAGCCAGCACCTGGAATATGATCACATAAAATACATTTGATATTTTAAAATAATATTATTGTTTTATTGCAAATATTGTGGATCTAAATTGCCAACAATACATGTCAAATGATTAAGACAGAAAACAGTGTACAACTTTAATTATATATTTGTGTGTATATGTTTGTCTTA